TAAGGCCGCGTCGACGCGGTCATTGATGGCGACTTCGTCGCCGACCATGCCATTTCCTCACGACGTCGCAGATCGCTGCGCCAAGTCCATCGTCGCAGATTCTCAACGAGCGCACGCAGCCACCAGCCCATAGGACGCTTCGCGCGACATACCTTCTGATACTTAAAACAACCGCAATAATCAGGGGATGTCATTTCCCCTGCCAAGACCTTCAGTCCTCAGTTGGGGGCATGGCAATTGACACAAACATCATGCGACTTGGTTGAAAACAGCTGCAGCGCAGCCGTCGCAATCGTACATTGCTTCATCTCCTGCCCAGCTGGCAAACCAGCAGCGCGCCCGTCAACGCGCGCGGCTGATGCGCGCCGCTGCGGCCGCAGGTCCAGAGAGCATGAACCACGTGAGACACTTTCTCCTCCAACCGAAATGATCTGCTTAGTCGCCGTCGTTTCGCGGTGCCGGGCAAGGAGGGCCGCCGTGACTGGAGCCTCTGCGTTGGCCGTCTTGGCGCAGCGCTTAAATTCGTCTCGGTGCCGCTGTATTTGCCGACCCCCTTTGCAGCTACTTGCCGCGTGCATCGCGCGCCTGTCGCCCTCCGCTCGACAGCTGCCAACGCCGATGAAGCTGGATACTCGCTGTTGCGCTTCAGCTTCCAACGTTTTACTTCAGATGCCATCGAGGCAAAAGATTGCGGCAGAGACCAAGATCCCCCCTATCAAAGCCATGCCGCCGCATCGCTCCAGGCCCCGAGGCGCGCGCTGCATCCAATCTGGCAGCAAGCGCCGCGTTGCACTCGCTCGATGCACTCAGGGCACCTGAGGGGCATTCTAGAACCTCCGTCAGACCATCTCCATGTTCACGCAAGTAATAACAACTATTCGTTCCTGTCGGCTGCGCGTCCTGAAAGCGGCGCGCCAGCGAGAAGCGCGCGCTCGATCTCGAGGCTGCGCCCGGTTACCTTTCGGATGCCAAACTTGATCCAGTTCAACAGTTCAGCCTCGGACGCCAAGACGGCATAAATATCAAATGTCGCGAGGGCGCAGCGATGCCCATGCTCACGCCTTCGGGCAACTGACTCCAGCCATCATCAGTTGCCTTCAGAAGAGCTACCACGATATGCCACTTGGCCTCATGTAGCAAGCGTTGTTGAGCAACTCCTATATATCAGCTGCTCTTGCTCGCGCACGCCCCACCTTTCAAATTCACACTGTAGCCGCGCGCCGGTGACGACCTCGACCCCGCGTGGACTGGCCTGCATGTATTCGCGCTGCGCCCCCGGAATACAACCAAGATTTTATACTTCGGTTCAGCGAGGACGGTGGCCCAGATTCTGTCTACGTCGTCAAGGAGCTGGTTCCTGTCCGCGGAAACTGTGATCAGACCGCAGCCTCCGGTTACATGCCCAGTGTGATGCTGCGCTAGCTGCGCATGTCGCACTCCTTCAGATTTGAGCGATTCCCCCCGCCTTCTTCTCAATGGATCACTGCGCATTTTCCTGCGTTGCGGTTACGCGCGCGCTCCTTTCTACCCGCGCGCTCTCTGACCTGCCCCAACGTGAACAATGCAGTCGGTAGTTCCTCTGACGAAACGAAGTGCACGCTGAAAGTGCGGTTGCACTTTTGTCTCGAACCGCAGAGCAACCAGATCCAACGACGAATCTCATATCTCGGGCACCTGATGGCGTTCCCCTGCGGGGCTTCCTGCGCAGACTGCGAGGTGCCCCCCGAATCTGGGGCTTCGAAGCCCCAAGTGCGGGGGGCACCTCCCATGCTCCGCGGGAAGCCCGGCTCCCTGGATGGGAAGCGAGGTGCCCCCCGAAGGCGGGGCCCCCCGCGCAGGGGCCTCGAGCTTCGCGCCGCGGTAGATCTGACAGAGTAAAGAGCTCCGCCAATCGTCCAATGACATCCGTCATGTTCCTACGCGCCCAGGCTGCGGGGCCCTCCTTCAACTCGCCCAGGTCTGAAGCGACGCCGCTGCTTCCTCGGTGACTGCCAGCGAAGGGCTGCCGCCGTAATGCCGACGATCAAAACGTAGCCCTGCAGGGCCCAGTCTCATTTCAGAGTGAGCTCCACCCATCTTGCCGATTAGCGCTCAGTGGGTGTCAGGTTCCTCCCCCGATGCTCTCTCAATGTTGGCGCAGTACTGATCCACGCTTGCCGCGCCAATCTCCACGCCCCCCCCCCGGGGGGGGGGGGGGCGCGGGGGGGCCCGCCCGCTGCAATTGGCAATCGACCTCGGCGACCTCGGCAACATTCTGCGCTCACTCAATCAACTAGATGGCTCTTGACGCCGCGGGCCCGCCGATGACGAAGAAGGAATGGCTCCACGCGCCGCAGCGTTGGAGATGCTGAGTTCTGGCCGACTGCCACGCTGCCCGTCCAGGCGCGCGCTCGCCCCGCGTCGGGCCGCGCCCACAGGTCGGTTCAGCCCCGACAGCGGCTCCAACCTGGCGCCCTCTTTCAGCGGCGAAGATGGCAGAATGGGTCGGCGACTGCGTCGCGGCGGCGCTTGCACCCACGCGCGCGGCGAAAGGCAGGTCACCGAGAGCTGCGGCGCTTTCGGGGGCGAGCTGGAAGCCCCCGTCGCCCCTCGCACGTACGAGCGGCTTACCGAGCTCATCCTGCGCAGTTGCGAAGCGACTGGGGCACGCGCCGCGCGCGACCGCCACCCCCATCAATCATTTTAAAAAGTGCAACGCCAGGCCGGGCGCGTCGAGCATGGCCGCGCCCCCCTGGCCGCGACGCCTCTTCGCGCGCACTGACAAGCCAACGTTAACGCTGCGCCCGCTGGCCCCGCGCGCTTCGGCGCGTGCCATCTGCCGCCTGCAATCGAGCCCCGCCTCTGAAAGTGCCAAGAAATCAGCGCCCGCCGCGGATTCGGGCCACCCCGCGCGGGCGCGCCACGGCCCGCTACGCCCGTGGATCATATGTCCGCCGAGCAACTTTCTCCGAACACGGGCTTCGCGGCCGGCGCGGACCGCTTGCCTCGCGGCCGCCAGCCAGCCGCCATTCATCGTCGGCATCCATGGGGCCCGCCGCAGTCGACCCCTTGAGCCTCTGCGCGACGTCCGCCGCCTTCTGCCTCTCGGCCTCGGACGGCGGCCCCCGCGCGCCGCGGGCTCAACGCGTTCGGCCGGCCCTTGGCCCGCTAACGCCCGCTGCCCGAGGAAAGTCTTATTATGATGCGCGAAGCTGCGCCGATAGCTCGCGACGGGAAGGCGCGGGAACCTGGGGGGTGCCCCAAGATTCCCTGCGATTCTCCTCCGCTGCCACTGCTGCCGCCACCCGCTGCCGCCACCGCCGCGGCAATTTGTTGCCATTGCTCAGCTTACTGCACTTCGACGGCCAGTGCTGGTCCAGTGAGCCGGAAAACCTGGCTTGTTCGCGCCGGCCCTGGCGTCGCCTGCGGCGCGGCTGCTGACCGGGGCTCATCATCGCACTTTTCAAGCATATCTGCCCGCGTGGCCAGCACAGGCGTCGCTGCTCCTGCTTCCTTCTTGACCTCGTTGAAATTGGCCTGGCCGCCTCCACTGCTGGCGCCCCTCGCAGCCTGGCACGCGCCCGCGGGCGCCCCGACCGTCGTCGCCCCCCCCGCCCCCCGGCCCGCCCCCATCGCCCTGACAGACTCAACCCTCCACCCCGAATGCGTCTGCAACTGGGCGCAGAGTGCCGAGCCGCCAAAAGATGGAGGAAGAGGGGACATCTCATACACTGTCGGTGCGGGCGGCGCCCTTGCCTGGGGTTTCTGCCATTCTGCTTTGGGATGTTCGCATAGCATGCGAAGAAATGCCTGCGCGCCGTTCCGTCGGCAATCGGGGCCGCGAGAGCCCCTGGGATTTTCGATGAGGCCCGAAAGCCCCTCGAGGGCGATGCCAGTCGCAAGTGTGCGAGACCCCCCTGCCCCTGCATTTCCTTCGGGCGCGCTTTGTGGTCCCAGCTGCTTTTGATCCCTCGTGGCGCCATTGGTAATTCCACGCGCTTTTGGTCTCCGAAAAATAATGACATCTGGGCCTGAATCTGGCCTCTCAACGAAGATGAATGGCCCGACTTAAAGCAGCATTGCGCCGGCAAGGAACATTTTCGATGAATGCCCGGCCACCCCAGAGGGGGAAATATCCATGGGGGGTCGGGCGCAACAATCTTCTTCATTGCTCGCCCATTTGCCAAACGTAGAACTTCCTGACTTCCCTTCGACCATCTGAAATCATAAGGGGAATGTCCAACGTAGCGCGCAATCATCTGCAAGCCCACGCTGGCAACACAAACGCACCAATTACTACGGCACCTGGGCAGGCGTCTTTGCGAGGATGTTAAGGATCGGGTCAGAAGGGTCAAATCGCTGCCGCAAGCGGTCGTTATTGCAAAGCCCGATGAGCTCCGCAACTGCGACGAGATGAAATGCCTTCACACTCTCGAGGTCCCCAATCAGAAGCGTCGAGAACGGCCGTGGATTGACATCCTCTTGGCGATGCCTTTTGCTCGTTGTTATTACAATTGTTCGGCCCATGTTCTTCTTTATGCGTCTCATCCTTAGGCATCCCAGCCCGAACGGTCTCTGGCAGCCATGCCCTGATGTCCTGGAAAATCTGGTCGGCTGGCTTGGCGCTTTCCAGCTGCACAGTCTTTCCGGACATCTGTTCGCGATGGTCATGCACGGCCTGGGCCTTTGGGGCCTTCTCCAGCTCCTGGACTGCAGCGATACAAATTGCCATCGACGCAAGTGAATATCCCTGGGGCACCTGCGTGAGGCAATCCGTGTAAATTGCCATGCAGTGCGAGCTGCAGAATGTTCCATGCTGTGTGGATGACGAACCACGGGTCATACCAACATTTGCGTAAGCCATCGACCCACTCACTGCCATCATCACCGCCACAACCACCGTACAACCACCGCGACACAACATCCAAGCACATACTGACGTACATTTGCGCGTTGCTCGCTTTCGAAACAACATGTGCTCTTAGCAATCATGATGGCTGACATCACAACCGAGGGCGGACCACCACCCAGAAGGTTGAGCACTCTGATGTAGGGGTGCTCCTCCTTGAGGTGGCGCAGGTGTAAATCGTGGAAGATCCATTTCATCATCCTGTGGCCCTGTTCGTCCGCCTCCCTGTCCCTTCTCGCCCTCATCTTCCTCCACTTTCTCTTTTCTGGTCATTTTCTTGCTCCTCCTTCCGGTTGAACAGCACAAGTTGAATGGTGCTGCACCCCCTAATGAGCACCAGACTCCCAAAGCATTGGCAATACAAGTCGGGATTGTACCCTCATGCCTTGCTGGACTCTGGGCGAATTTCGGCACACTCCTGCTGCCTGTCATGTGCACATTGAGGCGTAGTAGACTAGCAAGTGATGTGTGATAGGGTTCCGGCACTTCTGTCGAACGATTCCACCCTTCTATCCGCGCTGCCTGGCATACACGGGCGCTCTCTTCCGAGGCGGCTCTCTGGGCGGCCCGACGACTCCCTGGGGTTCTACACGGCTCTCCAAGGCTTCCAATGACGACCCAGGAAGGCCACCAAGACCGCCAATATGGTTCGACCTTGCCTCAACTGGCACCCCAGAAAACCCCAACACGCTCACCTCGTCCTCCACCTTCCCTCACCCTCTCACACTCAGACTCACGCTCACTCAGACTCACTCATACACAGCTCAAACTCAGCCACACACAGACTCACGCACTGACTCACTCACTCGCCCTCCGAGTCAATCACTCAGACCACTCACATTCAGACAAACGCCTACTCACTTTGCCACGCTCCGACTCAGCCAGACTACTCACTTTGCCATCCAGACACGTTCGTACTCAGCTACCCTCACCCAGGCTCGCCCACACCCAAATAACTCGTGTTCAGACCATTCACGCTCAGCGCCCCTGACACTTCGACCCGTAATCACCCTCACTCACACTCAGACACAATAACAATCAGACTCAATCGTTCTCAGACTAACTCATACTCACACCGCTCACACTTAGATGCACTTGGGCTCCCTACGGGGGAGCCGCCAGGGCGTTATTTCATTTTCCCGTCCGAGCTCAGATTGTGGGGATGTCGCTGGCGGTTCGGCAGTCTGCGAAAGTAGACGTGTCTTTTTCAGGGTTCCATGAACCCGGCGGTGTTGCAGGCATGACAATGGGGCACCCCAGCGTGGGGGCCGCCAGAGATGTATTTCAATTGCCCGTTCGCCCTCAGATTGTAAGGACTTCTATAACGGTTCGCAGGTATTCTGAGGGAGACGTACGTGTCTCTGTTGAGGACACCATGATATTCAAGATGTAACAATGATGGCACATCCTCGACTCAAAGGGGAGCCACCAAGGAGTATCCCACGGGCCAATTCGTGCCCAGATTGTGGACTCAAGCGGCCCGCCTGTTGCCAGATGTATCAATGTCTCTGTCCAGGGCTCCATGATTGCCGCGATGTAGGAGGCATATCGCTTGGGTACCCCAAGGGGAAACCGCCAAGAGGTACCGCATGGGCCCGTTCGCGCTCGGAGAATCGGCGTGCCTCGAACGGCTCGTATGAGTAGCCACCGCCCATAGCACTTCGGCACCGCCAAGGGGAGCCGCCAGGAGGTATCTCACGGGCCCGTTCGCGCCCAGATGGTGGGGATGTCTCGAGCGGTTCGCCGGTTTGCGGAGGTAGACGTGTCGCGCTGCAGGGCCTCATTATCCTCGCGATGTAGCAGGCAAAGCACTTGGGCACCACAAGACGGGGGTAGCCGCCGGGGGGGTATTTAACTCCCCCGTTCGCGTTCATATTTGTGGGTTTGGACGGCGCTGCCGTTTCGCCGATCTTCGGAGGTAGGCGTGTCTCGTTAAGAGCTCCAGGCTCCTTGCGATTTTAGAAGGCATAGACCTTGGGCGCCGCAAGGAGGAACCGCCAGAGGGATATGAACTGTTGACGCTTCGCGGATTCTCCATTTTGGTGCTGCACGTCGCCCGGAAGGACTTCCTGGTGTGCGCCCTCCTGTGAGCGGCAGCGAGGCTCGCCTCCTGTTTGCCTCCCCCCTGCTTGGTCTTGTCTCTTTTCGCCCCCCCTTCCTTTGCGCCGAATTTAGACAGTAGCCCCTGTGCATCGTTCCAGGACGCCGCCCGACCTTTTCGCCGCGGTCGCGATCGAACAGTATCCCCACCAGCCCATCCAGAAACGATGACCAAGAGAGTTAAGGTGATCAGGGAAAGGGGGGGAACATGCAGAAGAACAAAGGGCGGGGGAAGCCGTCATATACACCAAGCGGGGGAGGATGGAAGAGGAATCGTCGTCATCGTCGGAGGAGGAAATAGGAGGAGGAGGTGGAGTAGGGCGAGGACGAGGAGGACGAGAAGGAGGACAAGGAGGAGGGAGAGTTGGGTACCTCGGGGGTCCTCTTGAAGCCTCGTATGGGGTCTCTTGGGAGCCTTTTGAAGGCCTCTTGGGGCCGTCTGGGCGCCTCTTGGGGCCCTCTCGGGGATCAAATAAGGGGGGAGCTTCAATCGGCCTGCCCCCTCGGGAGCCCCGAAACTCGCCTCTTGGACCTCTCTTGGAGCGCTCTTTGGGCGCTCTTGGAGCCGTTTTGGGGCTCTCTTGGGCCTCTCGTGTGGCCCTCTTGGGCAATCTTGGAGCCGTCTTGCTTCTTCAGGGGTTTCTTTGGCCGCTTGGAACCGTCTTGGAACGATCTTGGGGCCTCTTGGAGCATCTTGGGAGCCATCTTGAGCCATCTTGAGCCATCTTGGAGGCCGTCTTGGGGTCTCTGAAGCTCTCTAGGAGCCATCTTGGACCATCTTGGACGCTCCGACCGCTCGCAAAAAAAAAACCGTCCAGGTCCAGGGGAGGGGGTAAAGGGGAGGGGACGAGACACCCCCGAGATAGCAGGTCGTCTAGCTCACTCCAAACCGCCTTCCCAACACATAAGTAACACCCGGGCCTGAGTATGTTCAGCGGTCGTCTTTGGACCGACCCCATGTGCGCGACGCTGGGGGCGAGGTGCGCCACGCGTGCCTGGCGCGCCACGCGCGCCAGGCACCCCTGGGGGCCGAGCGTGCCAAGCACGCCTGGTGCGCCAGATGCGCCACGAGCTCCGCGTGCGCCAGGTGTGCCGCATACTCCAGCCTCGCCAGGTGCGTCACGTTCGGGGCAGTGTGTCAGGTGCGCCTCCGCACGTGAAAGCACACATTGGGAAACATGTCGGCCCCCACCACACTTGTCGAAGACTAATGTCCATCATTGTGTCTGGTGGGTCTGCGCACAGCAGGCCATACGCTACCACCCCCACCGTTCCTGTCAAAAACCACTCGGTCGCATGGGGGAGGGGGTGTATATTCCCCAGTCAATGCTTGCACTGAAAGGGTCCTAACGGAAAATGAATGATTTGGCGAACATTCCCCGCCGATTTTGATGGCAAGCTGGGTTCCTGGGTTCCCGGGTTCCCGGTTCCGGGTTCCCGGGTTCCCGGTTCCTCGTTCCGAGCTGATTTCGGAGGGCGGCGAAGTTCCCGGGCTCCTTGGCTCCTGGTCTATCTTCTTATCGGTCGGTCTCACCATCGATCTCATTACCGACTTCTCGATCGATCGAACCATCGATCTCACAATCGATCTCACTATCGATCTCACAAGCGATCTCACAAGAGATCGCATGAGCGATCTCGCAGTCGATCTCACAATCGATCTCATTGAATGGATTCCACTCTCGGTCTCACGATCGGCCTTACAATCGTCCTCACCATCGATCCCACTGTCGATCTCATTATCGATCTCACAATCGATCTCAAGATCCATAGTATCAATTCTCAAATCATCCACTGATTGGGTGTTCGCAGATGTAATTGGTAAGGAAGAATGACGAAGGGGAAAAAGGGGGTTGGAAGAGAGGGCTGATGGAATGTTTCCCTTTCGCACTCAGATTGTTGGAATCTCCTCATCCGTCGCCCCGCCCCCGCATGGCGGCCGAACGCTGTTCGATCGGACCCTAACGTAACGCAGCGTAACCCCATCCGTCGCCATTGTCAGAGGTAGACGTGTCACTTGCGAGGGCGCCATGATTCAAGCGATGCAGCAGGCATAGCACTTGGGCACTTAGGTATCCCAAGGGGGAGCGGTCAGGAGGTATCTCGCGGGTCCGTTCGCGCCCAGTGTGTGAAGATGTCTGTGGTGGTTTCAAGAACTCCTCGCGGCGTAGCAGGCACAGCAGTGGGTACCCCAAAGGGGCGCCGCCAGGGGGTGGGACAACTGCCCGTTCGGGTTCAGGTGGTGCGGACGACTCGAGCCGATCGTCCGTGCTAAGTGCTAAGATGTAAGCATCACCCCCATGCACCAAGCATCGCACTTGGGCACCCCAAGGGGGAGCCGCGAAGGGAGACCCAGTCGTGCCCAAATCCACTTACTGTCAGACCCAATTGTGCCCAGTCAGCCGTACCGAACCTCACCCACAATCAGACTCGCTCGCTTTCAACACTCATATAAAAGGCACATGCTAGAAAAGAGATGCGCACATGGGTACCCTCGCGTCGAATAGTGATGTTGATTGCTATCCACGCTTTTCGGTCGAAGATCGGTCCACTTGTGGTTCCTGAGGGCCCACAAGTGCCGGATGAGAGCCCCAAGTGAGCTACTATGGGTCCGGGACGGCCCCAACAGGGCCCAAAACTGGCCCAAGAGGGCCTGTGGAGGGACCCAAGACGACACAAGAGGATCCCAAAACGGCCCAAGATAATCGTCTCGTCCTCCTTCCCCTCGTCTGCCCTGGCCCCTCTCTACCCTCCTGTAGCAAATGCCGGTCCTGAGGCAGCGTAAATCCCTGGAATGCCGTCGGCGCCTGGCACCTGGCCCCCAATGACCAGCCCTCGCAGGATCACTGTCCAACAATGGGCGCGGCAGTGCGATTCTTACGTGCTCTGTGTGCGCCATTGCGGGAGCGACTCCGCAAAACGGATCGCTCAACGAACACGCGTGACCCTTCACAGCTTGCGCTACCCAGTAAAATCGTTCACACAAGCGGGCTTCTGCGAGATCAAGACAAATTGCGTTTTGCCTCCCGGGTTCGAGAAGGTAGAAGTCTTCCTTGAAGCGACAAGAATCCAAGACTGCCCAGGACGGCCACCAAAACCGCCAATATGGCCCAGGACAACCCACGAGGGCTCCAACAGGACCCTCTGGAGTATCCGGAAAGACAAAAATGAACAATCTCCTTAAGTTGTTGAAGAATTTTTGCTTCGGGCTTCCGTCAGCTCAAGACGGCCCAAGAAGCCTCCAAGCTTGCCCCAAGACAACCCAGGAGAGCCCCAAATTGCCCAGCAGGTCTCCAAGAGTGCCTCGAGGCGGCGCAAGAGGAGCCCTGGACGGCCCAAGACGGCCTCAAGAGAACCCCAGGGTGTCCCAAGAAAGCCCCTGGCCTCCTCATCTTCCTCCTCCTCCTCCTCCTCCCCCTGTTCCCCCTCCTCCTGCTCTCCTCTGCCTCCTTCTCCTCCTCTTGCTTCTCCTCCACATCCTTCTCCCCCCTCTTTTCTTCTTTCCCCAAGCCTGAGACACACACAGTGTCGGCCGACCAGATCTGACACAAATGCATCATGGAGAATCGCACGTCTACCCTCTGACAGGGGCGAGTGAGGCGCACAGCCTTGATAAAAATAGCGTGCACTCTTCGAGCGCCAAAGCTTCTGCCCTGAAAGATGAAACAGGAATAGGAGTAAACGTTCCAGCCGTCGTTATCGGGTGAAACTCCCAAGCTGTACCATCCCATCGCCCGGCCTCCACCACCCACCCAGTGGCCGAACACAAGACCGCGCGGGTACCTCCATCAGAACGCGCTACAACATTACACTCAGAAAGATGCACGCCGGGGAAAGGGTAATCGAAGCTTTTAGACCATGACGCTCTTGTCCATTGTATAGTTAGCGAGAAAATCAGCTACGGCATTGTAATCTCGCTTCCGCCATGCGACGGGGTCGTGATGCGCTTGAGAAGGGGCCCATCCCAATTCGAGCATCGACACCAAGTTGTTGCAGATACTGCTGAATATGGGTTCGGCTTCATTGTCTCTCAGAAGCACTTGTCCCATGGTGATGCGCTGCACAGGCTGGCAGTCGACGACAAGCAGGAAACGTGATCCGCAACCTTCCCAATCCACAGCTATATATTCGTACTGCGTTGCGTGGGTGCCGGGGCAGGTGAGGAGGTCCGGCATGCGCTGCCTCCTCAGTGGCGGTGTTCCTGCTGGACTATCCGGCTCGCTGTCAGCACCCTTGCAGGCGACCCCCGGGAATCCCCATGAGCCACAGATTTGGTTTATGAAGTGGGCCAAATTGGACTTCCAAGCCGCAGCCGTGCTGAACTCGTCCAGGTACTGGCGCCACTGAGTGCCGTATACAGAACAGAAAGCATCTTCCCATCCAGCTTGATGACCGGTTGTCCGCTGGGTGGCACTGAATGTTCGTCTGAGTTTCAACGGTACTTGCCGCGCGCCGTCCCACCATTCTGATGATCTGTATCGCTGAAGTGCAAGGGCGTGTGCTTGAAAACGACGGTCGGGGAGGTGATTCTCCCGCCACGATTGCATAACTACTGCACGGAGTACCCGGTGATGCAAAAGCTGCACGCCAAATTTTTCACACCATGCACAGATAAGCAAATCAGTGCGCTGGTTGTACTCCATTACCCCTTCGTCTGGTCGACGACGTAATCTTAGCACTTTCCGAAACCAATGAAACTCCCATATTTTGATGTCTGCCAAGATGTGCTGGCTCAGATGCCACGTGCCAGCTCCGAATAAAGCAGATGATGCCGGCCCCTGTTGCCCCCCTACTCCCACCTCCTCCACCCTTCCTCCACCTCCCACTTGTCCTCCTCCCCCTGCCCCCCCAGGTTTTCATTTCCGTCGTTCTCAAGGTCGGCGGCACCGGCCGTAAGCAACAGCAAGGGCGGCTAACCTCAGTAGCGAAAGACAGAAACTCTAGAATCCAGAATGCAGTGGGCCGTCGGATCGCTTAATGCAGGCTCGTAACGCCCCATGCACTCTGTTTGAAACCACGGCCGAACGGAAAACACGGGACAATCAGAAAATGGAAAACGGCAGAACGATGGCAGGAGACTCCCGACCGTCACAAGACAGATGTAACCAAATTGCAAGTTCTGAAAACATTCAAACACAGAGCTATCCCAATATAATGGGACCATCAAAACAAAGAAATTAACTCCGATTGCAACTATATGGATTCTGGCGACTGGAAGCGTGAATGGGAGCCTGTAACACTAGCGCGAGCCTGCCCAAAGGCTGCAGGCACGCATAGCGTGAAGCGACAAAGGCAGGCAGACGGATAACTTCAGGCCGAACATGAAGTTCGCCAACGGCGGCCTTCGTGTGCGCTGCGCGGCGCGGCCATAGGTCGGCCATTCAACCCCACCACTTCACAGGAGAGGGGGGAGGGGGGAGAAGAGAGAGGACGAGAAGCAAGACAACATCGACAGGTTGGCATCCCCCCGACTTCGGCGACACACAATTACCTCCGAGCTGCGGCGTGAAGGCACAGGCCCCTCCGCTCGCGCGTCCGAACAATCCGAATGCAAGAAAGAAAAACCAAGAGGCGCCCACGGAGCCAGGAGGCACAAAAAAAACGCACTCACGCGGTGAGGACGCGGGGGGGCGCGCGGGGCCGCCGGGCCGCAAGGCAGACCGTGGCAGCGAACGCGGGGCGGCGTCGCGGGCGCACTTAGGGGAGGAGCTGGCGGCCGCAGCGCAAAGCGGGGCACAGCAAGTGAGGAGCAGCGGGAGCGGCCGGCCGCCAGGGTGGCGGGCCGAGAGCGCGGTGGGGGAGGGCTGGTGGCGGTTGCGCTGGCCGGCTGCGGTGGGCTGGACGCGTGGCCTTGCGCCGGTTCACCTTGGCCGAAGCGGGGCGCGACCTCGGCGCGAGGTCGGGGTGGCAATGAGGCCAGGCGGAGCAAAGCGGCGGGAGAGCACCGTGCTCCCAGCCGCCGCGGAGAGGCACGTGAGGCAACGCAAAAAGCCAGGGGGGCGGAGGGGGGGAGGGCAAGGAGGCTGATAACCGAGCCCAGAGCTGGCGAGGACTGGGCGGCGCCTAGGTGCCACTACACACCCAAAAATACTCACAAAAAACGCGACGCCGAACATTCTCTGCGACCGCCTACAAAGAACACATGAAGAAAAGCAGTGGGTCTGGAATGCGATACCTTTGCCCCTCTGCGCAAAAACACACAGACACACAGACACACAGACACACAGACACACACACAGACACACACACACGCACACTCAGTCTTACAGTGGAGACGCGAGAACCATGCCTACCACATTTGCGTCCGCGGCGACTTTTGCATACTTGACAAATTGTGGGATTTAACAATCGAGGGGCGAACCAAACAGGCAGATGAGGCGGAGAGCAAACTCATCCCGCCAGGCCTGGCCGGCGCTCGGCCTCCAGGAAGCGAGAGCGGTAACGACACGACGGGGAAAAGCACGCCAGGACGATACGTTCGCCCCTTATTTGCAGAAGCACTCGTTTTTTTATATATATATATATATATATATATATATATATATATATATGTATATATATATATATACATATATATATATATATATATGTATATATATATATATATAACATACGGGCCAAATGTTGCCAACCACGTATGTGTCCGCGGCGAGTTTCGCACACTTGTCAAGTTTTGGAATTCCACCGTAGAGGCGAGCAAACGACAGGCATATGGGGCGGAAAAGAAGCCAACCCTGCCAAGGCTGGCCGGCGATCGACCTCCGGGAGGCGGGGCGGCAACGAGGCGAGGGGGAGGGGCACTCCAGGCGGGATATGGACGCAGTGTGCTGGCCAGAAGGCTTGTCCAATCACTACTGTGGAGAATGCAACCGGCCTGCTCGAATAGAAACGTCGCACACCCGCGTGAAAAAAAAGGACGAGGACACGGAGGAAGAGGATTAGACAAGACAAGATAAGACATCGCAATGGAGCTGTGAAGCGACAGTAAATCGAAGTGTCGCTGGGCTCTGCGCGCTGCTTCGTCAGGTGGACCTCGCTCGAGAATGCAGCAGGCCTGTCGGGCACCGCCCGCGCGGCCCCCCTCTGGTCGGCGCGAAGCCTGGGAGGGGGTGCCCTTCGGGGACCAACCTCAAACTTTCGCACCCCATCGGACAAACCTGATGGGCCGAGCAGAGGCCCTCTCAGCCTGCTGCACGGAAGTTGGAAGACAAGGAGGGTCGACGGAGGTGGGATTGGCGATGGATTGTCCACGGTGCGAATGAATTCCTGAATCCCTTCCCTTACCCCCCTCCCCCCGACCACGACGACCACGACCCCTCCCGTTTTGAAGCTCAGCACGGGCTGGAGCCATTACTTGGACTTGAGGGAGGGCTGGGTTACAATAGGTGTGCACCTCATTTTTTGGCTGACGCACATCCCTCGAAACCTCACCACGCCCAGTTAGGCTCTGCAACCGAGCCAAGCCTGCGAGCGCACTATTTGCTGGCAACACGAGCTGGCGGGAGGCGACAGCCCCTGGCGCAGAAGACGATTCAGAACCACTGCCCACCGACGCCGAAACATTTCTCGAACTCTCTCGCGGCTGCTCATCCGCGTCTAACTCGAGAGCAATACTCGCTCATGGAAAGATACAGCTGTCCCCCGCCACTGTGAGAATACGCCGAACTTTTCCTCGAATGTCGCAGTCGCCTGATCTGCGAGGCCAGCCGCCGCTCCGTCGGACCCCTGAGCGCGGGCCTTGGGAGCTGCTCCACTTTCCCCGCGCCCCGGAGATAATCCTGCAGGGTCGGCCACAACACCTTCGCTGTCTGACTGTCCAGCACGTCCAGGTTGATCGCGGGAACTCCCTTGCACCCCATGCTCTGATCGTCGCCCCCCTTGGCCGCGCGGGCCTTCTTGCACTTGCAGCTGGCCGCCAGGAGGCCGCGCTGCCGCGGGGTCTGCTTCTCCACCGCGGTCGCCCAGAACTCCACGAGCGCCATGCGGCCCCGTTCGCGCGCGCGGCTGCCGTCGGGCGCGACCTCGCCGACGGCCCCCCTGATGGCGCGCGCGAAGAGGGCGACGTAGGGCGAGCCTCTCGCTATCCAATCCACCTTCTCGCCCTGGTTCTGCTTTTCTTTGAGCCCCGTGCTGTCGTCGACGTAGCTCTCGTTGCCCGCGACGCGGGCTTGGTCGAGGGCGCCCGCCCGTTCGCCCGCAAAACAATTGCGGTGGACATTCGATTCCAGGTTCGCCGTGCGCCTCTCCAGCCCCGCCGCTAGCTTCGCCGTGCCCTGCGCCATCTGTTCTACGCCGCCCTTCTTGCTGGGGCCTTCCTCTTGGGCTGAGTCGCGCCCTGCCCTTGGGCGCTGCGCTCCGGCGCTGTCGCCCGCGCAGGTGCGCCGGGCGCCGCCGCGCCGACCAGCATGCAATCTGACGCCGGCTGGGGCGGCGCGGGGTCGGGGGGGCTTGGCGCGCAATGGCAGGTGAGACTGATGGCGCAAACGTAGCTCCTCGGAGTTGGCCCCATCAGATTTGCAAATTGAGCAGTTGCTGCGACCTGGCTCGATGAACTGCGCGTTCCAAGAGGCACCGCGAGGATCACAGCAACCCTAAGTACGTATAGCGATATGTAAAAGCCCGGCGGCGGTGACATGCGCGGCGCGCGCCCTATTGCCCGCTGCGCGCGCGTTCGATGGCGCGGGCGCATGTACTGCGTTAAGTACTCGATGCCTGTCGCAAATGCGCCGCGAGCGCGCCACTGGTCTCGAACTCTGCCCCGCGCCCCGCCCCTCCCAGCACGCGCGCGCAGACGAAAGGATTCTCGACGCGCGCGCCCCCTCGCCCTCCGCCTTCTCGCCCCCCCCGAGCCCGGACGGGGCGACCTGGCGCGAGCAGACCGAGGCGCGGCACTCGGCAAAGTCCAGGGTGGCGAATTCGCGAATCACCCCCTCCCCCTCGAGTCGTTCCCGGGGAGAGTGGGCCGCGGCAAACGGCGCCCCCCATGGCCATGGAGAGCAGCATCGGCGGCGGCAGCATGGAGGTCAGCGCGCATCTGTAAAAACCAGGGGGCGCATTCGAAGCGAAGCCCAGGTCGGCGGGGAAACGCTCCCGATCCACCGATTCGAAATGGAGGAGAGAGAATGGGACTGCCCACATCTGCTCGTTTTAGGACCACCGAAATGGGCGCAGAAAGAATGGGCACAATGCCCAGCTACAAATGTTGTTCCAAACCGACAGCGGCCGCTGTTGGGCGGGCGGCCTTCCGTCTCAAATGGGCGCAGGCCGCGGCGGCGCGGACAGCGAGCCCCGTTAAAAATGACCCGGAACTGCTATTGCTCATTGTGCCCATTCTTTCCGTGCCCATTTCGCTCGTGCAGATCGTTCCTCTGCGGGCGGAGCGCCCGCGCCCTATGCCGGGCCGGCCGGCCGGCGCGCGGGGCTCGACTGCGCGCGGAGCCAATCGCCAGGAAGCAAGAAAGCGTGAATTTGACCGCGGGAAACGGATCCGCCCACGGCGATGCGGCCCGGCTCGGCATGGCGAACACCCATGCGTGAAAATGCGTGGTCGCCCAAGCAGAATCACTCCACGGCAGACAACGTCGCGTTCTGGACCAGCGGCAGAAAGAGAGTCACTTCTCTTCTAGCGCCGCGGTTCTCGAAGTCACCGCGCCCCCCCAATCCACAGAAAGCTGAGCGCGTCGCCGATATGCGCCGCTCCTGTTCGTGGTGCGTCGCCCCTTGTAGGTGACACCACTGGTCCAAGATCAAGTTCAACGTCAACTGCAGTGCCCGCCGCGCGCCCTGCTTTGCCAGGCCATTGCTTACATGCTGTCGCCCCCTGGCCACAGAACGAAAAACGCGCCCCCAACTTGTCCCCGCATTGTTCCATGGCATCCAGGGCCACAGCAACGCCCGGGACATCGTCGGCCTGTTTCAGCTGGCCTCGCACCCCACGCACGGCGCTGCCCACTTGGAAGCGCAGCGCGCGGTTGAAATCGTCGGCGCACGCGCGGCGAACATAGGCCGGCCCCATCATCATCAAACAGTGAGTCTCAGAGACGACACCCCAGACTTCATCTGCACCGCGGCGGCCCAGACGGACTCGGGGCGCGCGAACCCACCCGGAGAGGCGCCCACGATAAACGAGCTCCTCATGATACCTTCAGCGTTCGGGTTCATGTAGAAGGTGCCCTCGTCCCCTTGCGCCTCAACCACCCCGTCGCGATCGTGGCCCTCGCGCAGTTCCCAATCCTCTGGCTCGGCATAATCCCCCACCGACGGGTCGAAAGCTGTCCGCGAGACGCTGCCGAACGCGCTCGAAAGGTTCATCGCGCCAGCAAAGCTCGAGCTGGACTGGCGCCAGCTCCAGGACAAGCACTGCGCAGCGAGAATCGCTCCTTCGCGTCTTCTGTCCTGCGAAGCCATAAGCCCGCGGTCAAGCACGCACAGTCAGTCTCTTACGGAATTACCTTTGCTGATGGGCGGGCAGCGCGTGGGCCGCTCGTGTGCCCGGCGCGCCCATCCTCGAACGGCCCCCTGTAAGTCCCTGCCCCAAGCTGCGCAAACAGTAGAGCGAAGCCAGGTCTGTTCGTCTAATCGTGGCCAATCCGAGCAATGCCACTTCCTAGAGCGCATCCATCTGCACTTCGCCCGTATCACATCCCAGGCCCAAGTGCAAATCCTTGGTCGACTTGTCGGCTCGGAAGCATAGGTCCCGCAACTCAGCAAGTTTGGTGCCTACGTTCTCCTCGTAGTGTTTCGGAAGTGAGGGGTGAGGTCAGCCTCGTCCTCGGCAGCTCGATTAGCGCGCTCGCTAACCTCCCAAGCCTGCACAGCAAGGGGTGGCAGATCGTCTCGTCGGCTTCGCCGCTCGGCCCATTCCATCTCGGCGACCCTCATGCCGCCCCGGCCCCCTCTACAGCTTCCAGAACTTGAGCCACGCATCCTTGCTCAATGTAGCGAAACCGGGTCGCCGCCCATCGCGGCGTCGAGCGGCGAGATCTGCAGGGGGCTGCTTGCCGAGAGAATCGAGTGGCGCCATGCATCCAGCGGCCTCGCAAAGCCTCTCGAACCTGTTCCATCAGCAGCTCCTTCGTCGCCATCACCGACTTCTTGCGCTGCCGCTGAAGCGCGCGAGAGACCTCTTGATTTTCATTTGTTTCTCGATCGCGTTCGCTTTGTTTGAAAACGGGTCGGAGACGTAGCCTCGAGCACGTCGAAGTTCAGCGCGTTGCTCAAGTAGGCGTCGGCCCTCAGCACAATCTTCTGGCTTGGGTGCGCGTGGCCCCTTGGAGAAGAACTCCGCCCTCGAAAGTGTATTTGTTTCGGAAAGGCTCCCACATCTCATCCAGAGCGCTCATATTAGCCAACCCGCGCTGCTGTTCCTCATTATCTGCTATGTCTGTCGTGATGGCCCCGGGAAGGTCCTGTGTTGGTTTCGCCCCGTGAGATGGCCGCCATCATCGCATCGCCACTGAGCCTCGGAGGTGAGGCTGGTGGGAGATGGGGATGTGGTCCCCTGG